CCCCAAAACCCCAAAACCCCAAAACCCCAAAACCCCAAATTTCCTAGGAGGAATGAATAATATTTAATAAATCTCAAGATGGATTACAAATATCTAGATCCAAGCAGGGATCGCACTAACAATTATGCTCAAGACCAAAATTTCCAGCAACCAGCCACACATTCGCCTGCTTATACACAGAATGAGGGGTATGATAGCTATCAAGCAGATGGCTCTAGCTACCCTGGCCAATACGAAAGCCAACCACAGAATCTTGGGCAGCAAGCATATCAAGAGGGCGAATACGAACAAGATGCCGCGGAAACCTCCCTTTCGGATTATAATTCTCATGAAAGTTGTGTTAGAATAACTACAAAATAGGTAAGTTATCCATGTTTCAACTGTAGAATCCCAAATACCCCAGGATTACAGAAGGAAAGTGGGGTCCCAATAGCAGTGTCGATTAATTATTATGGAGATCCTTACTTTGATGGAGAGCCAATTCCAACAATCTCCTTTGGATCAAACCCTATAGTCAGATGCAAGGATTGTAGAGCATATGTCAACCCATTCATCAGATTCACTGATGGAGGAACGAGATGGATTTGCAACTTCTGAGGAGCGTTCAATAATGTTGATAATTACTTCTACTCTCCTCTCACGAATGGAGTAAGGAATGATATTGAGGACAGGAAAGAACTCCAATATGGCTCAGTAGACTTCTTAGCTTCAGCAGATTATATGAACAGACCCCCAATGCCTCCTACTTTCCTATTCGTATTTGATGTATCAAAAAGTGCGATTGATACAGGCTATCTTCCAATTGTCACAGCCTCTATTCTCAAAGCAATTGAATCCGATACGATCCCAGGGGGAGATAGAACAGTTGTTGGATTTTTAACTTATGACGATAAGGTTCATTACTACAATCTAAAGAGCACCTTGAAACAACCGCAGATGATTGTCAATACAGATGATGATCCTGATTTCCTTCCTCTTCCGGAAGACTTGGTTGTGAATCTTTCTGATAGCAAAGACTTAGTCGTCGAACTTCTAAACCAGCTCCCTGTCATGTTCAATGACTCAGTTGAGTATGAAACAAACCTAGACCATGTTGTAAAGTCTATTGGCATTCTTACAAAGGCAACTGGAGCCAAGGTATTCCTTTTTGAGTCCTCTCCTATGTCAACTAAGTTCCCTCATCTGCAGGTAACCAACAAGCCAGGGGTAAAAGAGAGGCCAGAGCTACTCAAGAGCACTTCACATCTCTTTAAAAGCTACGCAGTGGAGTTATCGCATTATTACGTGAGCATCGATCAGTTTGTGATTATCAATCACAATACCTTTAAAAATGTTGCTACTCTGCAAGATATTTCAAGGTATACTCATGGAAGGTTCTATTATTATTCTCAATTCAATGCTTACCAACATGGAATCAAGCTGGATCAGGAGTTCCACACTGCTCTTACAGCTAAGTCAGCATGGGAAGCAGTTGGCAGAATCAGAGTTTCAGGAGGGTACAAACAAGTTTCCACCCTAGGAAACTTCCTTGTGAAAGCCAGAACAGCAGATCTGCTTAGTCTTCCTGTCTGAGATGAGCACAGATTTATTCATTATGAGTTGGAAAGATCTGAAGGAGGAGATGCCCAGAGAAAAACAACTCAAGAAAATGAAACCCATATCTTTGTGCAAACCGCTCTGTTGTATACATCCTCCGAAGGAGAAAGAAGGATTAGAGTTCATAATCTCACAATGCCAGTTACTAGGACTCCAACTGATCCTTACGAGTATTCAGACCAGAACGCAATCTGACCTTTTATTTTAAAGAAAGGAATTGATAATTTGGAGAATCTGAATCCAAACCTCCTCAGCTCAAAGAGTTATGTTGAAATGTGATACTCTAACTTGATGAGTACAGTCCAAAGGCTTTATCATAACAATCCTCCTGAATCAATGGATTATCTCGTTCTCTACTGTATGGGAACACTCAAGAATGAGATTTTCTCTCCAGCCCAAAACTTGCAAGCAAATGCTTACATTGACAAAGTCAATTACATAAGATACCAGATGAGGCAGATGGGCTCTGATGAGTTAATGAACATTATCTGGCCTCAGCTGTTTCATGTTAGTGAAGAGACTCTCTCCTCTGAAAGCCTTCCTCCTCTATTAAACTTATCAAGAGCCTGATTGGAGACTACAGGGGTATTCGTGCTTTTCAATACATTCAACTGCTACATCTGGATCGGAAATGAAGTTGATAGTTTCTTCCTTGACCAGCTCTTCAAGGTCCAAACCTTAGACGACATTACTAACATTGAAATCTCAGAGGAAGAGATTTTCTTTGGGCCAGATCAAGAAGCAAAAGGATGGGTACAAGAGCTCTACAATATAATTCAGTCTCTCAGGATTTCTACCCTCATTTATCCAGAAATAAAGGTCTTGTTCGAGTTTGATCAAAATTCTGAAATTATTTTGAAGGAATACATGCTTGAAGATGCTACTAAGGGATATGACTTCAGCGTAATCAAGAAGAACTTGACGTCTAAATCAATGCCTTTGTCAATGCCTTATTAATTAGTGGAACTAACAGAATTTTCATTATTGAAAATCTAGAGTGGGGTTTTGGGGTTTTGGGGTTTTGGGGTTTTGGGGTTTTGGGG